ATTTTTTTTTCAATGGAACTCTAAAAGTACTCCTAGTATGGTACTGTAGGATCAACACTGAACTGAACCACAAAGTCAGCAGTTCAAACCCACAAGCTGCTCCTCAGAAACCTTATAAAGGGTCGCTATGAGTTGGTCACTACAGTACTGAGAACAATACCAAAAGTGTTTCAGGTCCCAGGCACTGTGTGTTTCCCATGCCTGACAGAGAAGTCAGCCCTGGCCCTGGGGCGTGAGTTGCAGATCCCACGTCGCAGGGAGCCATGCATTATGGACACTTGGAGCTCCTTCCAAGGAGCGTCAAGTCTGCATTAGGTGTTCTGCTCTGAGTGCAGGAACCCAGCAGGGATGTCCAGACAAGGGTAGGGCTTGTAATATGTCCATGTCTCTAATCTGCAGCCTGGGTGATTCACAACATAAACTGACCATACCTCCCAGATGGCTTCTCATGATCTACGGTTAAAACTAGTTGTTTCATAATCCACAGGGACCTTGGCTACATTGTGCTTCCCTGCTCTTGATCAGCTCTAACTTCATTCGCTAACTGTCTGGCTCTCAGCCTAAAAGGGCAGCCTAAAGGTTGAGTGTGAAAAACCTATGGAACAGTTCTTCTCTGTCCAGCAAGTTTGCTGAGAGTCAGAATTGACTCACCAGCAGTGGCTGAAGCACACTTAGTGCCCCGAATCTGTCATCTCAGGGTCACTATATATGTATGTGTTTGTCTGTTACTTACTTATTACCTCTCCCTCCCAACAGGACAGGAACCAAGTCAGGCTGGCTGGTGGCTGCATAGAATGGCACCCAACACAGTAAATGTCAATATGTTTATTGAATGCATGAAGACATGAATGAATGAGCGCATAAACCAATGATAACATGCAAGAGCCTGCACACGCATCTCTGCACTCGGAGCCTTGTACAACTGATAAGCACAGACTCCAGCCTCCAAACTGGACTCAGTGCCTGGGACTGCTGCTCCCTTACCTTCAGCCCCAACTCCTGTCTTCTCAAAGGCTGCACACAGACGCTCGAGCACCTTGGCATCACTGGAGCCCTCCACTCGAACCTCCTCGTCCAGGACGCAGAAAAGACCCTTGGCATCTTCAGCACGACCTTCACCTGGTAAGCGGACCTGGTGGGGAGACTTAGGATTAATTGAGGGTCCCTGATCTCTGATGGAAGCTAATCCCTAGGCTGCCCAGACCTGTACTCCCTGAGACCCCAAACTCTGTCAAAATCACAAAACTGGAACAACCTTTCCACCACATGGGGTCCAAATCCTGCCTCTGTCTTCCCTTCCTGTGTGACCTTGGGCAAACCACTGTACCTCTCTGAGCCTCTTTTTCCTCTGGTGTCAATGGGTAATGGAAATACCTTCCTTGGAGGACTATCATTGGCTGAGATGAGATAGCACCAAGCAAGAAGAAAGTACTCTATGAGCCATACATCTCTGGATGCACATGGAGCAGCTGGCCTGCTTGTGCACAGCGAAATGTGGAAGGCTTAATTCCATCTGCATCATTGGCTAGAAGCTTGTGTTTCCTTGAACTAAAGTCTTGAAAAACTATAAACGCTCAAAGAATGATTCAGAGGCGTAAGTGAATGTGGTTCAAAGCCACCAATGTAGAATTTTAAATCTAGCCACGACCTTCAAGGCTACCTGGGAAGGAACCCTGATGGCACAATGTCTAAGCACTTGGCAGCTAACTGAAAGGTCAGCAGCTTGAACCCACTCAGCAGCTCTGCAGGAGAAAAGATGACAGCCTAGTAAACCTCATGGTGCAGTTCTACTCAATGGTAGGGAGTCACTTTAGACTCAACCAATGGCACTGTTGACAACAATAGCAATGGGAGACAGAATGGCTGCAGAGTTTAGGGGGCTTATGTGGTTACAAATCGGGTTGTGAACCACAAGGTCAGCAGTTCAAAACTACCAGCTGTTCCATGGGAGAAAGATGAGGCTTTCTGCTCCAATAATGATTTACAGCCTCGGAAACCCTGTTCAGGGTCACTATGGGTCAGAACCGACTCAACGACACTTAACAACAACAACAACAAGGAGTCCTGGTGTGGCACTGTGGGTTAATGCATCAGACTGCAAAGCCATTTGAACTGCAGGATTGGTGGTTCAAGCTCACCAGTCACTCCTTGGAAACTCTATACAGAGTCACTATGGGTCAGGTCTGACTCAACAGCACTTAACAAAAACAACAATAACAAGTACTTGAAGGCATGCTGAGAGCTGGTACAACAAAATAGCGTCAAGTGATTTTGGAGGAAATGTGATCTGTCGAGTGACCTGCTTTCACAGTGTGCCCAGAACTGGAGTGACGTCCCAATATATGTACTTTTCAGGGCTACTAAACCCAGAAACTCCCAGTAAACCAGGACAATTGGTCATCCTAACTCAGAAGCCTAGAGTAGAGAAGGACCATGTACAGGAACATGATGAAAGTCCATGTAGAACTGACACAGCCAGCTATTTGTGATAAGGTAAGATTTGAAGACACAGTTGCATGGCCTTGGAGACATGTTGGCCATTCCCTCCCAACATTGCCCAAGTTCCTGCCCCTTCCAAGGAGAGGCTCAGGTGAAGAAGTACAGAGGAAGGAGGACACTCCAGAGAGAGATGTCAGGAAGAAGCAGGTATGCTGTAAACCAGCTTACCCACAGTCTTACCAACAAGGGAGCTTTGCAGTGACCAGAGCAGCCCACTTGAGCCTGGGGAAGGCTGAACAACTACTCTGACCAGTGAGAGAGAAGGGGTACAGAAAATAATTTCCTGTGGCACCAAAGAGCAGCCAACACAACATCTTCGGGACTCCTAAAATGTGCCAAGTGCCCCAGTATGTGCTTTATGTGCTGTGTCAAGGACTTCCACAACAACCCCATAGAACAGTATTATAACCATTTTGGAGATGAGAAAACTGAGGCTCATAGAGATGAAGTGGTTTGACTCAGGCCATCAAGGTCGGATCCAGGCTTGTTGAATTCACAACCCAGTGTCATTCACACCAAGAGGTGAAGGACAAAATCAAAACTAAAAGGAAAGTCAAGTTCAATGGCCCAGGGCAGTGCCAAGAAAGGCCTGGACAAGAGGGACATGCTCTAAGGATGGGGAAAGTGAGGCCAAGACTTAGACATCCCCAGCCTGAAGTCTATCTTCCTTAACTACAATAGGGGGCTAATTCCATTGTCAACCCCTCTTCTCTATTCTCCAAGGACACTGCCTGCCAGGGTGAAGTGCTTTTGTCTGATCAAGTGAGAGTAGCCACACCAATTGCATTCATTCCTTCAGATCAAACCACAATATCCTTGGCATGGGTTTACTTCTGACAGAGTTCATAAACAAAGTCTACCAGCCATCGGGACTTGTAACAATTCTGGGGTGATCCCAGGTGCAGGTGGTGTGTAAAACTAGTAATGTGGAGACTCCAAACAGCTGGTATTTCAATAAAGAGGCCAGGGGAGATGTGAGAGTGTGGTTTGCTGGATACCACATTACCTGGGAAGGGTTCTGATCTACAATAGCCACCGTGGTCCCTGGAGATGGTTCCGGAAGGTCAAACTGCACAGGAATGCTTTCCTAGAAAATCAGAGTTCAAAAGTTAGCTCCCGGGTGATCTAAGTGGGGTAGACCATTCCTCTTGAAGGTAATAAAAATAAATGAGGATTTAGTATGAAAAGGGAGATTGCAGTCCAATATTCCAATAACATTTTGATATTGTCCACCTCATAGGGTCATCAGCAGTCATGATGAGAGCTTTATCAAGAACTGAAGCTAGTGAGGGAGCCTAGACTTCCAGTTTGGGGTCAGGTAAGCAGAGACAGATACTGAAAATTCCTCTCCTAAAACCCCAAAAAATCAGAGAAAGATCAGTCTGCAGAACAGCTGCACAGCTTAGGATCTTGTTTAAGTTTCCAGGCACTAGTTTCCGATGCCCACTTGTGAAGAAATCTGCATGTGGAAGCAAAATACGGTGATTTTTGATTCGATCCAGCCACAGCAACCGGCAGCCAGAAGTCCTCAGGCTGGAGAGCAGGGCCACAGCCAAGCAGAGGCAGTGACCCAGCACTAGAAGCTGCAGAGCTGCACATCTGGAGGGAGAGGTGTGACCGATTTTTCATCTTTCATTTCTCATTTTTTATATATCTTTCCTCTTCACTCCAATAGCACCTTCACTGCCCAGCCCAGACACCTTCAGGTGGGTGGGAGCACAACCCCCAAAAGGTCCAGCATTGCACCCACAGTTTTCCAACAGCACAGTGAGGAAACCCACAGGCTGCTTCTTATGACATCTGACTCTGGGACCCAGACCCAAAGATGACCTGGTCAGAACCCTTTATCTCTGCCTGCACAGCAAAGGCCAGTGGACAGCATGAATCACAATTTCATTTTTGTTTTTGATTAGTGGTTTCTGTTTCTGCTGTTATTTTGTTTCTGTCTTTGGTCCTTTTGGCCTCACTCTTCTCCCAGGGGTTGGAGCTTTCTCCCCAGACCTTGCCCAAGAAGAGACAGCAACTGTGCTCATATAGCCAAGCTACAAGCATACCCTGTAATACCCCACCATCTGGACAAGAGGCAAACCCAGCTGCTAGGCATTACATGTGAAAAGGGAAGCCGATCTCCAGATCATATCCACCAGGAGATGCTCAGAAAGCTTAACAGCAAAGCAACATACATCAATTTAAGCATTAAAAACCCAGATAACTGCTGAAAATGTCCAAGTAAACACAATTAAAAATCTCAACACATGTCCAAGACCAGAAAAAAAGTAACTGAGACAAATGAGCTGAAAGCAGACACAGACTTTCTAGTAGAAAATCAGGCTCTGGATCTGCCTGAGAAGGAATTCAGAAGAATGATATGGAAACAGTCAAATGCTGTGAAAAGGGGTGGAAGAAAATAAGGAAGAAGTCAGGAAAGTGCTACAGTAGCAATCAAACAAAATAGATATGGCATTGGAAACAATCCAAAACCTGCAAAAAGAAGTCCAGATGATTAATAATAAAATATCAGAAATGGGTAATACACTGAAAGTGCAAAAGAGTAGAATGGAAGAGATGGAAGCCAGAACCAGTGAGCTGGAAGACAAATACTGCTAAGATAGAAGAGCAAGCAGAAAAAAGGGATTAAAAAATCTGAAGAGAATCTAAGATTCATGCTGAATAACATGAAGAGGAATAACGTACGAATTATTGACATTCCAGAACAGGAAAAATCACAAAAGTCTACAGAAGAGATAGTTGAAGAGTTTCTGTAAGAAAATTTTCCTAACATCTTGAAAGATGAGAAGATAAATATTCAAGAAGCTGAATGAACACCAGGAAGGATAGACCCCAAAAGAAAATCACTGAGACATATCATAATCAAGCTCTCCAAAATCAAAGACAAGGAGAGAATCTGAAAAGCAGCCAGGGAAAAGAGAAGTGTTACCTACAAAGGCAAGCAAATCAGATTAAGCTCTGACTTCTCAGCAGAAACCATGCAGGCAAGAAAGCTATGGGGAGACATATATAAAACCCTAAAAAAAAAAAAACTGCCAACCAAGAATCATCTATCCAGCAAAACTGTCAATGAAATACGATGGTGCAATCCAAACATTCCAGGATAAACAGTAGCTAAGAGATTTTGTCAAAGCCAATCCAGTGTTTCAAAACATCCTAAAGGGAGTTCTTTGGAATGAAAATTAGCAAGAACAGACAACAACCAGAGATTGACAGACATGGCAATACCACCTAGAACTCAGTCAACAGATAGTAGAGTTCAGAGCAGAATAAAATTACATCAATGAATTCAGACGACCTGTGAGGCCAACCAAAGATCAAACTATTAACAATGTCAAAGAAGGGGAAAATATAGGAACAGAGATCCAGGTGGTGAGGAGGTCGGGTAGATTGCAGGATACAATAGACTGTCTTAAATGCAGGGAAAACTTAACAGACTATAGGGTAACCCCAAAGAAAATGAATACTTCACAACTTACCATGAAAATGAAGATCCAAGCAGAACAAGGAAGCATTAAAATTAAGAAGAAACCGGCAAGAAACAGCACAAAAACATGAACTCAGCACAAGGAGGCATACAGAACAAAGGAACAACTGGTACCACAAAAAGTTAACATAATGACAGCAGATAATCCATACCTATCGAAAATTACACTGAATGTCAATGGATTGAATGCACCAGTGAAGAGACAGAAAGTGGCTGAATTGATAAGAAAACAAGACCCTTCAATGTGCTGCCTGCAAGGGACACACCTTACACACAAAGACAAAAACAGACTAAAAGTTAAAGGATGGAAAAAAAACATACCAATCTCTGATAAAATAACCTTTAAGGCAAAAACCAGAGGTAAGAGATAAAGAAGGATGCTATCTCATGATTAAAGGGTCAATTGAGCAAGATGACGTAAACATAATTAACATCTACACTCAAAATGAAAGAGCACCAAGATATACAAAGCAAACCTTGCTAGAATTGAAGAGAGAAAGAGATAAATCTACAATTATAGTGGGGGATTTTAATATGCCACTTTCGAAAGGGATAGAACAACCAACCAGAAAGAAACTGGACAAAGCTACAAAGGAACTAAACAGCACAATCAACCAACTTGACCTCATAGACATGTACAGAGCATTCAACTTAACAACAGCACAATACACATTCTTTTCCAGTACACATGGAACATTTTCCAGAAGTGACCATGTGTGAGGTCACAAAGCAAGCCTCCATACGTTTACAAACATCAAAATACTACAAAGCATCTTTTCAGACCACAATACCATAAAATTAGAAATCAACAATTAGAAGACCAAGGAAATAAAGTTTAATATACGGAGTCTGAATAACACTCCACTGAAGAGTGATTGGTGGGTTTGCAGTGAGCAGTCCAACACTTCGCCATCAGCACTTCTTAAAGGGCTGTGTAAGCCACTGTTTTCACCCCACAACAGAGTGGGAACAGCTTTCCATGTGGTGAAGAGCCAGTTATGTATTGAAGGAGGTACAGGCCACCCCAAAACAGAACAACTGTGCAAGCAAAGGCCTGGGAGCCCCAAGTTCACTGCTGTTGGAGGACTCATAATGTATGGAGACCCTGGGTGGAGCTTGGCCTGCAGCAAGAGACAGTTGTGTGGCAAATGCCTTGTGGACCAGCCCAGGAATGGGGTTTGCTCAGTGGTAGTCAAACTGGGGTGATATTGAAGATGACTGGGGTGGGGCACTCCCAGTCCCACACCCTCCGCCAAGCCCTGGCAGAGTCCCACTCCTGTCCAGTCACACCTCTCGGTATCGCTCCAGGCTGGAGACGAAGGTCCGCTGGTAGGAGAGCAGCTGCAAGCGCTCCTGGGTGTAATTACAGCACAGCTCCTCGAAGGTGGCAGCGCGTTCCTTGCCCTGGTGCCGTGGATTCTGAAAGCCTGGTGAGTCCACCACCATGATGGAGCCCATGGAGAGGTGGTGAGAGGAGAAGGATCTAGAAGAAAGCACAGAGGCCCCAAGATGATGTGCAGTATTAGGTAGGTCCTACTCTCCCATTATAGAGATTCAGACATTGAAGCTACATCTGGGGTGACTTTGGAGAATCTAGATGATCAGCAGCCTCACACCACATGCAAGCTGTGTGATCTTGGGCAAGGTGCAGAACCTCTCTGATTTCCCCAACTGTAAAATGTGGTAAAGATTGAAGGACTTAACCTATGAAAAGTGACTCCCAGAACATTCCAAAAATGTGACTGCCCCACCAGACCAAGTAAAGAAATGACTTGCTTAAGAGACTTTAGAGACAGTCAAACACAGCCCAGGACCTAACCCTTGGAGAGTCTCACCTGGCCTTTCTGAGCTTCAATTTCCTGAGCTATGAAAGGCTGAATGATGGAAACCAAAGAGGATGACCAAGTGTTGAATGTTATCCTCAGGACCCCGAAGACTGCTGCATGAGAAAACTCACTGTTGAGTCAATTCCTACTCCTATAAGGCAGAGTAGAATTGCTCTATAGGGTTTCCAAGACTAATCCTTACAGAAGCAAAATGCCTCATCTTTCTCCTATGAAGCAGCCGGTGGGTTTAAAACAGCAACTTTATGGTTAGTAGCTCAGTGCTTAACTCACTATGACACCAGGGATCCATTGGGAAGTACTCAGTATTATCCTTGCAGTCCTGGTGTGGTGATATAGGATAAGAAGCACTGGACTGCAAGGTCGGTTTGAACTGCAAGGTCACTGGTTCAAACTCACCATCTGGTCCTTGGAAACCCTATACAGAGTCGCTATGAGTTGGTACGGACTCAATGACACACCACCACCACCACCGTCATTATTATCCTTAGCATCATCAATTACATGCTTTGTAGAGCCCTTAGTCTAAACCTTAACCCTTCCTCATTATGTGCAAGTGTTTCCACCCAATGGACTCAATTGCTGTTGAGTCCATTGCAATTCATGGTGATGCCATGTGTATTAGAGGAGAATTGCACTCCATGGGGTTTTCAATGGCTAGTTTTTTGAAGTAGATTGTTAGGTGTTTCTTGTAGGTGAATTCGAACCCCAAACTTTAAGATAGCAAGTGAACCTGTTAACCAGGGACTCCTTTCCATCTATGTTGTTGTTGTTAAGTGCCACAGAGTTGGTTCTGACTCATAATGAACCCAAATAAGGTTTCCAAGGAGCAGCTGGTAGGTTTGAACCACCAACCTTGTGGTTAGCAATACACTGCTTATCCTATGTCAGATAATGCTTCCGAAGCCAGGCACCTATGAGATGCTCAGCCAATGATTGCAGTGGATATTGTCATCATTGATAAAGTGTACATCCATTGTACCGATGTGGGTTCTGAGGTCCCAAACCATGAAGTAGCTTCCCTTTGCTAGCTGAGGCCACTCTGTTCCACCACCAGGTAATTTTCCAATCCAAGTACACCTTTCTCAAAGCACGCCTCATTCCCTTGGTTTCTAGATAATGCGCCAGGGGTCTCAGTAATTACTTCAGCAGGGATGGAGGGAGCTGAGTTCTGTTGTCCACAGTAGCATCACAGAACTCCAGCCTTGCTCTGTTGCTAGGCACCAGCCCCGTCTCCTTAATGGGACTTTGGAAGATTAATTATGCCTCCCACTTGCAGCCCTTGCCAGCATCCTGTATTAACCTGTTGAATTGCTTAAAGGATTCTCAAGTGTGTGGTTCAGAAATGTAGACTGCAGAGGTTCCTGAAATCTGCAGTCCCACAGACACATTTCAGCCACATTCTAACCCCTTCTAAACTTCCAGCCATCCTGCTCTATGCTCCTAGAAAGACATTTTAGAAAAAAATTAAATGGTTGGGAGCATGTGGTGGGTTATATGAGGAAACGTAAAGGTGTGAGGTGAGAGTACAGCATTTGTTTACATCCTAGTTCCACCTCCCTGTGCCTCAGTTTGTCCATCAGTAAAATGGCCTGATATGAAAAAATACAAGGCAAGTTACACTTTTAGCTAGTGGGGCAATGGTGGTTCTAATTTTCCATTAAAAATTAAAGCAAAACTTTATGTTGCAGTTTGACTGAAAGTTTATAGAACAAATTGGTTTTCAAATAAGAAATTCATATACATTTTGTTTCATGACATTGGTTACAGTCACCACAACCAATGTTGTCCCCACTCTTCCCACTCCCTCCTTGTATTTTCTATTTCCTTCTTTCTTATCCTTTCCTGCCTTCTGAGCTTTATCCCAGGGCATAGCCTGCCCTTTGATCTTGTATGGTTGATTGTTTTAAGGAATGTCTTAATGTTTTAAGTGGTGTTACTCACTTTATAGACCTGTTTGGCTGGAGTCCTGTTGTGGTGCTGTAGAATTGCTAACCACAAAGTCAGCGGTTCAAACCCACCAGCCGCTCCTTGGAAACACTATACAGGGTAGCTATGACTCGGAGCTGACTTGACAGATGACTAAGGGCCAAAGCCTTGGGAGGCTCCAACAGTCTCTATCAGACTTTGAGTTTTGTTCCACATTTCTTTCCCACTGCATCCAGGACTTCCTATTGTGAACCCTCTCAGAGCAGTCAGCAGGGTATCTGGGCACCATCTAGTTCTTCCGGTCTCAGGGTCCTGGAGGCTGGGGTTCCCACACACCAGCCACTCCTTGGAAACCCTATACAGGGTCACCATGATTCAGAACTGACTCAACAGCACTCAACAACAACACTTAACAACATTGTCACATGGTCCGTTAGTCCTTTGGACTAATTGTTTCTATGAGTCTTTAATTTTCTTCACTCTTCTGTGCTCCAGGTGGAGAGAGACTAATAGTTTACCATAGACAGATGACTGCTCATAACCTTTTAAGATCCCAGTCACTGCTCACCAAAGTAAGATATAGAAAGAACATGGTCTTTGTGGACTATACCAATTGCCCTTCTTGTCTTTCAAGTCTATGGCCTAGAGCCCAAAGGCCCAGCAACTCATTCCCTGAGGGTGTTTTACTATGACTAAGAAGTTCTCATAATTTTACCCCCTGCAGTGTATTAGCTAATGTCTTTTCTAGCCATCTGGGATGGTGGTGGTTATGAGCCATGGAGTCAGTTCCAACTTATAAAGACCTGAATAGGGTTTCCAAGGCTGTAAATCTTTACAGTAACAGAAAGCCTCATCTTTCTCCCATGAGACAGCTGGTGGTTTTGAACTGCTGATCTTAAGGTTAAGCAGCCCGACTCATAACCACTACACTACCAGAGCTCCTATTAAGGCTGTAACTCCCACCAAACAATGTTTCTGCCCTGCTGGGTCTGGGTAAGAGAAGGTGGGAGAACCTACAGATTGGGTGATTTGATTCAGTTGGGGAGCTTAGCAGAGTTCATTGGAATTGTAAAAATTTGAAACCCCAGCATGGGTTTAAAATGAGTCATCTCAGATGCAGGAGGGAGATCTCACTATCATCAAAGAAGAGTCAGGAGTGGAGTATGTCATTTGGATCCTGAGATCCTGGCACATTAATCTCCTCGACCCAGGGACAGAAAATTGTGACATGAGAGAAGTGGCAGAGGAGCAGGAGTAACAAGAGAACCAAGAACCAAAGCACGAGACAGAGCTGTGGACATCCCGGCCCATAGAGCAAGACTGTGGGCAGGAAGCTTGCTTATAGAGTGGGGTGTCTTCATGCACTTAAGTGGGGGAGTTAGGTGTGCTGAGCCAGGGAGCTAGAGTCTAGTAGCTGGTGGGTTTGAACTGCTAGTCCAGTGCTGATCCTCCAGCACCACACCAGGAGTCCTCAACACCTTAGTAAGTATCTAAAATTGTTTGCTTTTATTATTAGCATTTTTGCTTTTATTTGCATATTTATTGTCACTGTTAGAAAAAGCAACTTAAATACATTATTTCTTTTAATTCTCACAAAGACTCTAGGGAATATAGTTCTTTTTTAATAGACTTAATTTTTTGGAGCAGTTTTTGATTTACAGAAACATTATGCAGAAAGTATAGAGAGGGCTCATAGACCCTGCATCTCTTTGCATATTAATACCTGGCTTGCCTGCTTAATGGTACACCCAAGAGGTCTTCAAAAAAGTCTATGGAAAAATTGAATGAAAACATAACAGATGTTTTCCATGAACTTTTGAAGCCCCCTCGTATGTCACAACTGAAAAACTGATTTGCAACATTCCTATTAACTAAAGTTTGGAGTTGACATGAGGCTAACGATCCTATGGGTTTTGACAAATGCATAATGCCATATGTTCACTAGAACAGTATCCTGCAGAAAAGCTTTACTGCTCTAAAAATGCCCTATGGAATTTTCTGGAGCCATTGAGTCTAGGTGAACCCAAAAACAATTGTCCTGACATAATCGTTAAACCTTAAGGAAAAATATCCACTAAAGTCTTTTTTTTTTTTAACCAAAGAAGAGTTTATTTAGCTCAATGAATAAAAAATGGCTGCCTTGAGTATTGTTCTCTTTTAAAGATTTTCGCAAGGGGACTTCAAAAAAGATCATGGAAAAATTCTGTTCTCTTTTAGTTCCATCTTTTCATGAACTTTTTGAAGCCGCCTAATACATGGAATCAAATGGACAATGGCAACTCACAAGGTCCAATAGGAAGCTTGGGGGACTGTGAGTTTATGTTAATGGTGGTGGTGATGTTGGTGGTGTGCCTTCGAGTTGGTGCTGACTCATGGCAACTCTATATAAGGATTCTGAGGCTGCAAATCTTTACAGGAGCAGAAAGTCTCTTCTTTCTCCTATGGAGCTGCTGGTGGATTAGAACTGCTGACTTTGTGGTTAGAAGCCACAAAGCCACAGTGTATGAACCACCACACCACCAGGGCTTCCTTCAGGCAATCTGGAAAGTGAAGGTGAGAAGAGTTCAACAATTTTCAGACTGCAATCAATGTCTCTTAACTGTACATGTAGAAGTGGTTGAAAAAGCATATGTTTTGCTGTGTATATTTTCAACAACAATAAAATGGAAGTGAATTGTTTTTAACAATAAAGAACTATGGTGAGAGGGAGGAGTCCTGTGGCAAGAGCTGTTTTACAGATCAGGAAAGTTCTACCAGAGAGTTGGATGGATATGTTGATGTCACACAGTCATGGGTAGTCATGGTCGAATTTAAGCCAAATCCCATGCAGCTCAAACAAAACCTTGCTCTCCATCTCAAAGCAGACCGCTTTGCATAGCTGCTCTGTGCTTGTTTATCTGCAGGAAGGTTCAGTGTCTGCGCAAAGACTGCAGTTACCTGTTGATGAGTGAGACCACAACAGCAAAGAGCTCCTGGTACAGGCCTGAGGCCATCCCTTCCAAGCACTCCACACCTGTCATCTTGAGCCCTGGAGTCAGAAGAGAGGACAGGACCATCATCCTATAGTCAGGACCTCACCTGAGGCCAAGAACACCACTGGGAGGCACCAGAGGCCCATTCAGCCTTAGAAGCTTTGCCCCTGGACATTGACACCCTTCCCCAACTGTAGAAATCATATACTCACTACTTACATTCTTGGGACAAAGTTCAAATATCTTACCAGGACTCATGGGTCCTGCAAAACTGACCTTATACCCCTCCCCATCACACCCTCTGTTCATCTTCCGTCCTCTCTGTTGTCTCTGCTTGTTCTCCAGCATTCAGTCCAGATGTCACCTCCTCAGAGAAGCCTTCTCTGACTATTCCTCGTAACTAGACTCTCCCTTATACCGATCTTGGTGTCTCCTATCTTTACTTAGATGGTTATTGTGTGGATCTGTGTCTTCCCTCATGAGGCAAAGAGTACTGTAAGGATGGGACTATTTGGGGTCCATTGGGCCATCAAATATCCCAGTGCTTAGTATATAGTAGGTGCTCAGTAAATGTTGCTCTTCCCTCTTTCTAAGGAGCCCTGATGGGACAATGGGTTAGGTGTTGGGCTGCCAACCACAAGGTCAGCAAATCAAACCACCAGCTGCTCCATAGGAGAAAGATGAGGCTGTCTGCTCCCAGAAAGATATAGTTTTGGAAGCCCTATAGAAGGTTGCTATGAGTCAGAATCAACTCAACGGTAGTAGGTTTGGGTCCCTCTCTCTGGAGGAAAATTTGGTCATTTTGTATCCTTAAAAACCCAAACTCGTTATATTTAAGTTCATTCCAACTCAGTGACACTATAGGACAAAGTAGAACTGCTCCTTAGACTTTCAGAGTCCCCATCTTTCTCCCACAGAGCAGCTAGTGAGTTCAAACTGCCAGTCTTCCCTTTAGCAGTTCAATGCATAATCCACCATGCCACCATAGTTCCTACTTACATCAGAAGCCATAAAATGTGCATACGCTTGACTTTGCCATTTCACTGCTAAGCTTTTGTTATGATGAACTATTCAGAGAAGCCAAGATTTCTAGGTAGATGCATTTATGCTTCAAATTGTTCAAACTGACAACAGTCGCTTTGGGGAAATACTTTGAATGTCCAATAAAAGCAAATCAGTTAGCTAATTTGTCACCCATCCATTAAAAATCCATTTAAATTGAGATACAGGAGAATATTTCATGAAGATAGAAAAGTGTCTACCTATCACATTGGGAAGAATACAGTTTAGTTTATTGTAAATTATAGTTGCGGCCGTGATTTTGTTTAAACACACACCCACGCACACCATTAGGTTCCAGTGCCATCCTGTTAACTGGAAATGCAGGTTCCCAATTTGCAAGTGCTTAGTGCATACAGAAGGAGTTCTCCTTGTATACCCTAGGCAGCCCTAAAATCACTTCCCATCCGTCCTTTAACCCTATCCCCAACCTGGGCTGTTGCTAGGCAACCCACAGCCTCCCAGAATTTCTCCTGAACTTGCTGGTCTCTACCTACTTAACATCTACCCTGGAGATGTTGACATGAGAGGTTGAATCAGCCTCACAGACCCAGGTGTGTATGTGTGTGTGTCAGGAGGGGTCACTTTTTAAGCAGACCTCAGAATGAAACAAAATGACCAATGGAGTCCAAGTGCCATCAGTCCTCAAAGTGATGTTCCTGGAAGGAGGAGCAGGTGCAAGGACCCAAAAGACCCCCCAGGAGATGTCCACAAACCACAGCTGCAAGTTGTCCTCCTCACCAATCTCCAACTCGGTTAACTCAAGGAGAGCTACTTTGAGAGAGTCCTCACAGACCTTGGACACTCCAAGAAGTCCCTTAGCATCTCATCTTCTAGTGCCAGGAGATCTGGTCAGCTGAAGGCTACAGACCTAGGACTCAGCAGAACCTCTCTTTGCAGGTACAATAATGACTAATCTCCTGCTTCCACTCCAATCCCAGAGTCACAAACATTTCCATTCCTCCAGCTGCTCAGAAGGCAATCTTAGGAGCTGTCCTTGGACCTCCTCTTTCCCTGACAGCACAGGGCAAAGAGGCTTCTCTCTACTTGTACACTTCTCTGCTGACTGTGTCCACCGCCTCATCTCTACCTTCACTGCCCTAATCCAAGCTACTGTCATCTCTCACCAGGCTGTCTTGTATAGATTCCCAACCGGTCTCCCTTTTCCTTCTCATGACTCAACCTTCTTCACCAAGGCTGACCTTCATAAAGCAATCAAATCAAATCACAATATTTTCCTACTCAAAATGAAATTGCTCACTGACAAAATGATCCCATCTTTGCCTTTGCCTCATCCCCTACCGTATCTCCCCATCCTACTCTAACCATACAAGTCTTATTCCTGCTCTTCAACCTGGAAGGTTAGACTTCACTCTACATCATCGGGTCCCAACAAACATTGAATGAAATGCTAATGCTTCAGTCCATTGACACTACCCATGCCATCTCTTCTCTCCACTGTAGGACTGCCCTCTTACATTTAAGACCCTGCAAGTGTCATGCAGGTAAGAGCCATGCCAACTTCAGCTCCTAGTGGTCTCTCTGCACCTAGAACAGGCCTGCACGTAGTAACCAGGTCCTCAATAAATCCTTGACTGACGGTGAATGAATGTTGCTATATCCCCTGAGGCTGACCCAGAAGGACCCCAGCCCAGCAGAAGGGCAGTCAGTGCAATACCTGGAGTGGTCTCCTCATCCTCAAGGTCCCGTCGGCTGGGCCCAGACATCACTTGCTTGATGATCTGCTGCAGGTGATGTTTGAAAGTTGCTCTGTTCAGCTCCTCATACTCACAGCCCAACACCTCAGCTGCATGGTTTGCCCATTCAAACCGCATGAACTGCTTCCGGCCCACTGCATAAAGGACAAGGCAAAGGTATGGAAGTGAGGGTCTGGGCACAGGGTATCTGGGAGAATCTCGCCACTCTCCCAGCCTCTGGGCTACCCACCCTTGAGTGAAGAGGCTGAACTACTGCTCAGGTCTGACCCTTGGTAGAGGGTCTCCTAGGCAGTAGTCAGATTTCCCAAGAGACTAAGTTATCCTCATCATTTACAGTTTTCACAGCAATTGAAATGATGATGGGAGTGTTCTAAATGTGGAGAGGTGCCATGGTAGCATAGTGGGTTACCACAAAGTAAGCAGTCCAAGGTAAGCTCCTTGGGAGCAAGATAAGACTTTCAACTCCTGTAAAAATTTACAGTCTTGGAAATCCTATACAAGGTGGCTATGTATCGGAACCTACTCAACAGCACACCACCTAAATGTGGAATTAAGGGATGATAGGAAAGTCTCAGTTATCCACCCACATATCCAGTCATCCACCCACATATTCATCCACTCCCCCACAACTCCTTGCCATTCAACTTCCAACCTGACCACCTACCCAGCCACACAGCCAAACATTGAGCCACCCATCAATGCAGCCATTCATTCAAACCATGTGTACTGAGCACCTATGATGGGACAAGCTTTGGATTACCCCTGGAGAACTAACTACATGGTGCCTGCCCTTCATGCAGTGTTCAAGAACAAAGATGTCAGTTTGAGGACTAAGGTGCACCTGAGACAAGCCATGGTATTTTCAGTAGCTTCGTACGCATGTGCAAATTGGACAATCAATAAGGAAGACTAGAAGAATCCACACATTTGAATTATGGTTTTGGAGAAGAATATTAAAAGGACCATGAGTTACCAGAAGAACAAACAAATCTGATTTGGAAGAAGTACTGCCAGAAGGCTCCTTAGAAGCCAGGTTGGGGAGACTTCATCTCTCATACTTCAGACATATTATCTGGATGGATCAGACCCTGGAGAAAGGATATCATGCTTGCTAAAGTGGAGAGTCAAAAAGAGGAAGACCCCCCCCCAACACACACACCCAATGAGATGGATTAGCAATGGGCTCAAACATTACCACAATCTAAGGATGTCTCAGGATCGGGCAGTGTTTCGTTCTGTTGTGCATAAGATTGCTGTGGGTCAGAATCAACTGGACAACGCCTAACCACAAACCAGCATGATAACACAATTATAAAGAGTTTGTTTTCCCTCTGTGTAGAAAATAAAGCTGGACAATGAGATAAAAGGGCACTATGTGTCTGTGATGGTCACAGAGGGCTCTGGCTAGAGGTATGACATTTGAAATGGGCTGCGACAGGAGAAAAGGACTGGACATATAAAGAACTAGAGAGTTCTTTTTTTAGAGGGAGTACAAAGTCCCTGAGGCGGAAATGAGCACTGTGTGTTGGAGAAATGCCAGAAGCTCAGTGTAACTGGAACTTAAACTCAGGGAGGGTGGGTCCTAGATGAGGTTGGAGAAGCAACTGGGTGAACTGTAGTAAAACTAAAACCCCGCCACCCATTGCCACTGCCCTCAAGTCAATCTCTATGCTTAGAGACCCAAGAAGACAGACTAGAAATGCTCCATAGGATTTCCAAGACTGCCAAGTATTCCTCCTGTGGAGCAGCTGGTAGGTTTGAACCATCGACCTTTTGCTTAGCAGCTGAGCCTTTAAGCACTACACCACCAAGGCTCCTTAAAACCAAACAGTTGCTGTCAAGTCGACTCTAAGTCATGGCACCCCCATGTGTGTCAGTATATAACCACGCTCCCCAAGGTTTTCAATGGTTCTGATCCCCCCGCTCCCCAAGGTACCTCTAGGTTAAAAAGATTTGTTGAACAATTTTGTGGTTGGTAGTTGAGTATGTAACCATTTGCACCTTCCTAGGTCTCAGACTATTATGTTATTGTTGTATAGGATTTCTGAGGAGCAACTGGTGGATTTGAACTGCTGACCTTGTGGTTAGAAGTCCAGTGCTTATCCTACAGTGCCACACCAGGACTTCCAGACATATAAGACCATTAAAATAAGCAACAAAACCTTAATACAACACAAACAATGCTGACAGTGTAAAGTTAAATGAAATGCCGATAGAAAGCTGTACCGTGTCTCCTATGTAAACCAGACTAACTGCTGTAAATTATTAAAAAAAAAAAAAATGCTGCTGTGGTTGTTAGGAGCCATCGAATTGGTTCTGACTCAAAGCAACCCTATGCATCTCAGAAGTATCATTCCCCAGAAATACACCTAAATATTAACTGTCATAGCTGGGTAGACGTATTCTGCATTCTCCAAATCATCTACCCAAGCCCACTAAAATCAAGTTAACTTCAACTCATGGTAAACTGTATAGAACAGTAGAACTGCTACATAGGGTTTCCAAGACTGTAATCTTTGTAGGAACAAACAACCTCATTTATCTCCCAAGGAGTGACTGGTGGGTTTGAACCACTGACCTTTCAGATAGCAGCCCCATGCTTAACCCACAACATCATCAGAGCCCCTCAAATGACCTACAGTGCTGTGTATTAATTTTTGATGCAAATTAAACTGAATGTCTTATTAAAACAAATCGAGGGTCATCCCTAAATAACAGGTATCCTGTCTCTTAGTTTCCCATAAATATTTCTTTCTGTGGATTAAGAATCAGAATTGCCAACAGAGATTTCTCAGTTCATCAAAAAGAGGTCAGGAGGGTCTAGTTCTTCACACAAACATCTAGAACAACAAGCTTGTCTTCTGGCAAAACTGAAAATTTGAGGGCACTTTGTTTGAAATCTTGACACTGCTTTAGATTGAATTGTGTTCTCCCAGGATACAAACACTGTACCAGTGAATGTGATCCTACTTGGAAATAAGGTTTTCTTTTGGTCAGTTGACTAGATCATACTGGAGTAGGATGAATCCAAGACCTAATGACTTCTGAGTGGTATCTTATAAAGGGGGGTACAGACATAGAGAAACAGAAACACGGTGGGGGGGGGAGGGGGAATGGGAAGACACCATATAAGGATTCTACAACAAGCCACAGGACACCTAGAAATGCCTGGGGCTACCGAAGCTGACTGTGACCAGCAAGGATCTTCACACAAAGCACACCAAGAAGTCATAGTTTTCCTGATAGCCTGGATTTGGATTTATAGCCTCTAATACTGGTAGCGTAGTGGTTACAAATCAGGCTGCAAACCACAAGGTCAGCGGTTCAAAACTACCAGCTGCTCCGCGGGAGAAAGATGAGGCTTTCTACTCCCGTAAAGATTTACACCCTCGGAAACCCTGTACAGGGTCGCTATGGGT